CCCTCAGCCTGCTTGCCGCCAGGGCAGCCTGACATCTCCTCCCCCCGTTCTTTGGAAAGAAGGGCACCCCTACTGGGGGGGGAGGGAGGCCTCGGGCAGCCTCTAGGGCGGTGGCCTGGCAAGGCCACGCGACCCGAAAGAGGGGGGACCCACGCAAGACCCCAGGGCCCACTCACCGCTTTTCGCTGCCGCCACACACCACTAACGCCACGCTGCCAGTACACCTCCTTCTCCCTTTCCTCCAAAGGTGATGTTATTACGAGGTACGATGCTCTGTCCTTCTTCCTCCTCCCCCCCTTCTGTCTGCGGGACCTCGGTCCCTAATCTCTTAGTTTTTGTACTACTCCCCCAGGGGGGGGAGTGGGGACGACCAGGACTCCTTGGGGGGGAGCGGCAACGTCTGAAGACTTTCATGCCGCGAGGAACCGAGGAGGAGGAGGAGGAGCAAGGAAGAAGAGAAGGACGAGCAAGGAAATGGTAGACCTGATGCACTCTACGCATAGATCTTGTCAGCCGTTTATTGGCACGGGGACTCCCAGATGTTCGAATGGTGCGCAGCTAGATTCACACTTCAGCAGTTTCGGCCACTGGCCAGACCGTCTGCAACGGGAGCTCGACAAGAAGTCACGGCGAAGGACCCGAAAGCCTGACCACCCCGACCTCCGCAAGTTGCAGCATGTCTTAGATCTAGACAGTCATTGTGGCAACGTCTGAGCGCTGGTAGGCAGCTCCAGTGCAACACGCTGGCAAGATGAGTCTGGTATGTCGCGTGTCGCCCGTCGAAGGCGCTATCGCAAAAACTGTTTGAAGGATGTCCTGTATTGCCCAGGGCGTCGGCAGTGTCGGCGTGGAGCGATCTGCAGGTTGCTTCTGACAAAGGGGGAGCCGGGAGCAGCTCATTCGCTTGCCAAGTGAAGCTTCGCGTAACGTGGGTAATCGCAGCTAGCGCGACACGAAGAATGATACCCGTGTGTTCGAGAAGCGAGGCGTTAGAGTCATGGCTATTCGTGATCTCGAGCTTGGAGGGCCAGGAGTCTGCGGGCAGAGGCGTATTGATTGGGGCACCCCCGCTGTTTGGTGAATGAATGTTTGCCAGAACACCGGAGAGTATCACACATTTCGTTGCCGTTGTCGAGGGGCGCTGCGCTACAGCGTGCGCGCAAACACCTTTGGCAGTAACGTTGCCAGACTTCATTGTGTCGCTCGTGTTGTTGAGACTTGCACGCGATTGTCTGATTTGAGCGCCTGGCTGGCAGAAGGCTCCAGAGAATTGCCCTGGCGAAGAGCCCAACCTCTTGTAAAGAAAGAACGTGGCGATCGTCGACGGGACCGTTCAGAGCACGGAAACAGACCGAGGCATCTGCGGTACGCCTGAGCGCTTCCGCGAGGACCGCCGGACCGCACTCGACGTTCCCCGCTCACGCGCGCACTCTCACGGCTCAGATCGCAAACGGGGGGGGGGAGCTGGAAGGACGCGCAGGCGCACGAGCGAGAGAGGAAGGGAGGAGGCGACGGGGGACGCAGACCACCGGCGAATCGGTCCGCTCTACGGTCGCGCGGAACTACACAGGATCGAGGTCGGTTCGGAGAGGGTGCCCTCATGTTCTTCGTGCTTGTTCGATGCTCTTGTGCCAGTTTTCAGAGCCCCGAATCATCAGGGGTAACTCGGGTCAGGGATAACTCGGGTTCGTTTTTCGGGAACCCAAACCCGAGTTACCCCGGACCCGAGTTACCCCGGATAACTCGGGCGTCCAGAGCCCCGAATCATCAGGGGTAACTCGGGTCAGGGCTAACTCGGGTTCTTTTTTCGGGAACCCAAACCCGAGTTCCCCCGGACCCGAGATGCCCCGGATAACTCGGGCGCCCAAAGCTTGGCTGGCGAAGGGTCTCGTGTTCTTGGAGGAGGTCCTTCTGTCCCAGGTCCCACTGCCCCCAGAGGACCGCTTCCTTCCTCCCTGAGCCAAGGGCTCCCCCGAGGGCGCGAAGTTATTCGCGCTTCGCGGTCCTCGTTTCTCCTCCCCCTCCTCCTCGTCCTCCTTTTCTCCCTTTGGGGGGGCGGCGCGAGAGCGCGAAGTTATTCGCGCTTCGCGCTTCGCGCAGCGCGAAGCGCGAAGTTGGGAGCCCTTGCCACTGAGCCGGCCCGTGGGGCCGCGGGGGCCCACCAGGGAGCGCCCGCGGGGCCGACGGGCGAGAGAAAGGCCTCGGGCGCGAGCCTCGTCGAGCCGCCCGAGGTCCGGCGAGGAGGAGGAGGAGGAGGAGGAGGAGGAGGAGGAGGAGGAGGAGGAGGAGGAGGAGGAGGAGGAGGAGGAGGAGGAGGAGGAGTTGTTCGAGGAGGAGGAGGGAGGACGAGGAGGAGGAGGAGGAGGAGGAGGAGGAGGAGGAGGAGGACAGCGGAGGCCTTCTTGGGCCAGAAGGCCGCGCCGGCGCTCGGGGATGAAAAGAACGCCCCCTGGACGCGTCCAAGGGAGCGCTCTGGCCCGAATGAGCCGTCGGCCTCTGCTCGAGGGCCGCTGTTTTACTTCACCCCTGGCGGGTCCGTACGGCCTTGGGGGAGCCCTCGGGCGCGATTTCTTCGAGCCGCCGGAGGTCCGGGCTCGGGGATCAGAAGTCGCCCCCCTGACCCGTCCGAGGGCGCTCTCTGCAAGTCGGGCGTGTCCCTCTACAGGAGGAGTATTCAAAAATAGTCCCAAAGTAGTCCTGGGACGATTTTTGTTACTAGTTGTGATCACTTGTTGATCTTGTAAAATTTGTCGTCCGAAATCCGCCTGTAGGAGGACACGTCGCATCACGCCCGACCTAACGCTTTCTGTAGCAAGAGTTTTGAGGGGAACCCAGCCGTGGCGACGACAAGCTGCTTCTCAGGCAGCGCCTCGAGCGCGATACGGTAGGTTCGCGCGGCGTTGGCGCGCCGGCGACGCCGGCGAGGGCGTTCAAGGCTGAACTCTGCGACGCGGAAGCTCCTAGGGGCACGATGACGCCGTTGGGCCCGACGGAATTCAGCCTTGAACGATCGGGGCCGCGATCGGTTCAAGGTTGAACGATCGACGCGGTGTCAAAAACCTTCGCGCGCGCGCCGACGCCGCACGAAGCTACCGTACGCTTGCAGAAACTCAGGAGGGGAAGCACACACAGCCACAATGAATCGTCGATCCCCAGGAAAAGATGGGAAAATATGGGCAGTGAGGGGGGGAAGACGAAAATCCATAAAGTATAAGATAACATGGGGAAGCTTAGGATTTGTGGGTATCTGTTTGTGTGTCCCTGGGCGCCCTTAGAAACGCCGGTCGTCCGGCCCCCCGACCCTCCTCGACCTGCCCCGGGCGGGCGACCCAGGTCACGCGCAGGAGGCAGGAGAGGAAAAGAGGCGCAGAGAATCGTCGACCCCCAGAAGGAGATGGGGACGTGTGGGAAGTGGGGGGGGGGAAGACGAAAGTCTAGAAAATATATGGAAGAGTCTAGGGGAATGATCGCGCGTAGGAGGCAGGGGAGGAAAAGACACCGACACAGAGAATCGTCGACCCCCAGAAGAGGATGGGGAAATGTGGGAAGTGGGGGGGAGAGACGAAAGTCTAGAAAATCGACGGAAAAGTCTAAGGGGAATCCTGGGATTTGCGTCTACTTGTTTGTGTGTGTGTGTGTCCCTTGGGCCCCTTTCGAGGAAGCAGGGGCAGAGAGAGGGCAGCATCTCAAAAATCCTGCTTGTCGTTGTCCCTGCGCGGGCCCCGGAGCTCTTGGCCCTTTCCCTAGCATGTGCGCGCTCTTTACCTTGCATCGTCGCTTGATGGCCTCGGGGTCCGCAATCGCACAGTGGAGACCCATGCCAAGAAACGGCCTGCTTGCCTCCAGGGTGCCCTGGGTTTCTTAGTTTTCGATGGTCTTGCGATGGAAGGCGTGACGTTCCCACGCCAAAAATCCAGTCACGCCCTGGGGTCTCAGGGTCAGGTTTCTTGCGGAAGGTTTCTTGTGGACTGACCTCCATTGCAGCCAGGAGGCCGAGAGTTGAGAAACGATTTCGATCCGCTTCCCCCGGAGCTCTTAGGCGGGGGCTCGAGTCGTAGGTCCCCTGAGCTCTCGACCCCTTCCCGAGGCCGGGCGTTCATCCCCAGCAGATGCTCTTCAGGAGGGGAACAAAAACACACAGACATAATTGGTCGTCGATTCCCCAGAAAAACTGGGAAAATATGGAAGTTGGGGGGAAAACGGAAACCCAGAAAATATTGAAAGTATGGGGAATTCTGTTCTTCGTGTCTATTTATTTGTGTGTCCCAGGGCCCCTTCGCAGTAGCCCGGACGCCGAAGGCGGCGAAAAGAAACGCCTCGATTCTTCCAAGACGCCAGAGGTCTGGGGGTTGGGGAGGAAGGGGAGGGCATGGGCGGAGAGCATCGCCAGCACCGCCGCCGGGTTGGATGCCTTCTCGGTTGTCTCCGTCATTGGAGGGAGGTGCGGGCGGAGAGCAGCGCCCAGGACTTCCGCAGGCGCGCAGGCGCTGCGGTGGCCGTCGCGACCCCCCCGTGATGCCTCGTTCGCAGGGCCTGCGGCGCTGCGTCAGAGCCAAGGAAGGGGAGGGGAGTCTGTGGACGTGCGGAGGGGGAGTTGAGTCAGTTCTTCGCTCACGGCACGTCCGGGACGTCTCGCGCCCTTGGGGTAGCCAGCTTTTCTTGGCCTATGCGCTTGGAGATGGCCACCCCCCCGCCCCCTGATGCCGCGCACCACATGTCATTCTTGCCCAGTGTTAAGTCGGGCATGGCCCTCTACAGGAGGACAATTCAAAAAAGTCAAAAAACAGTCTGGGGACGATTGGTTTGGCTATTTTAGAATTTGTTTTTAGTATTTTCGGAGTATTGCTTAATTTTCGTCCAGAATCCGCCTGTAGGAGGACACGCCCGACCTCGGCCCAGTGCTTGCGTGCAGCCGAGGAGGGCAGCGCCAAGGCTTCCCTGGAGCGGTGCTGGGGGGTCGCCTCCCGCCGCGGCCGGAGCCACCTCCCGCCCCCCCCCAGGAGGCCGCGCGCGAGGCCGGGCGCGACGCGATCCGCCTGCTCGCCGAGCTGGGCCGCGGCGAAGACTGCGAGGCCGCCTTCCTCGACTGCACGCAAGAGTGACCTTTCGCCAGAGTGACCTTCGGTGGGGGCCCAACGGGGTCCCCCGATCGCCGAACGCGATGCGATAAGCCGCGCACCAGAGGTCACCCTTTTGCCCAGAGGTCACTCTTGCGTGCAGTCGCCTTCCGCCCACGTGCGACGACGACGACGACGGCGGCGGCGGCGGCGGTGGCGGCGACTGCGGAGGCGACGGCGAGGATCGAGGATCGAGGCGTTCGCGCCGGCCCTCGGCCCTCCCAGAATCAAGTCGGGCGTGTCCCTCTACAGGAGGAGTGTTCAAGAATTGTTTGATGATAGTCGGGGGACGCTTTTCTTGACTATTGTTGAACATGTTTGAATATTGGTTGACTCTTTTTTATTTTTCGTCCACAATTCCCCTGTAAGAGGACACGCCCAACCTAACCCTAGAATCGAGGATCAAGGATCGAATCCCTAGGCTTTTGGACGTTCCAGCCCTGTGGGAGAATCTGGGACAGCTGGATCTGGGCCTTCGAATCCAGGCCAGAACGCAACCAGGACAGGTCTGGGGGTGGACCTTTGAGGCCCAGGGCCCAGATCTCCAGGCAACGCGGAAAGATCACGACGCCCCGCGAAGAACAAACGATGCCCCCTTCGTGGCCGTGGCCAGGCGCAGCTCGAGAAACGAGCAAGGGCCGCGTGGAAATATTCCTGAGCGAAAGAAGAGGAGCGGTCCTGACCGCCAGGCATTGCGGACAGAAGCGCGACGGGCGGTTGTGCCCCGGCAGCTCCGACATCCAGGGGCCGTCCTCGGGCCCCACGAGCCGCGGCGAAGGAAATCGTCCTGGGGGCGGGGTCCGGGTCTTGAAGAGGTCCCGACTTCGGATGTCTTTGCTCGCGCGTTGCCTCACTTGCCCAACCCAGGAGGAGGGCAGAGTACGGGGAGGAGGACCAGGAGCAGGAGCAGGAGCAGGACGGGAGGAGTCAGAAAGAGAGGAGTAGGAGCAGGGGGAAGATGAGGAAGAGGAGGAGGACCAGTGCAACCTGAAGACTTCTCAACGAGCTTGGAATACACCCTCCCTCCAAGTCCCCCACTTCAGGCCCCTACACGGGTTCATTCCAACTGGGGGAAGTGCCCGGTTGGGGAACAGCCGTGTGAAAATTCTGAAGCGTGCCGAAACACCATGCTGACGACTTCAACGCCACGAGTCAGCTTGACTTTTGCGTCTGAATGATCCTGAGTCATGCCAGCATACCGTTCCTGTGTCTTCAACATCGAAAATCAGCGATAGTGTTACGCCCTGACAATCCTGAGCCGCTTCAAGGCACCACTCCTGGTACATTAACCATGAGAACCCGTGAAACTCGTGCAAATGTTGAAACGAATCTGCGCGGCGCTGAGGGGAGAGCCACATTTTGAAGAGGAGCCGCCCTCAATCCGCAAACAGTTTGCCATTGTTTGGAACGAATGTGCGCGGCGCCACGGCGAGAGTCACATTTTGAAAACCACCCGCCCTCAATCTGTATAACTCTTGCCAGTGTCTGAAACGAATGTGCTCGGCGCTCTGGCGAGAGCCACATTTTGAAAACCACCCGCCCTCAATCCATGAATATCTTGCAACTGTTTAAGACGACTGCACGCGGCGCCAGGGCGAGAGCAGCATCTTGAAAACGGCCCGGCATCAATCCGTGAAGCTTCTGCAGATGTTCAGGACGAGTGCGCGCGGCGCTCCGGCGAGAGCCACCTTTTGGAAGCGGCCCCGCCCTCCATCTGTGAAACTGTTGCCAGCTCTTTGGCTTCCGGCGCATGAGCGGTAAGGAAATCTCAGGCGAAACGCCCGGCTCGCCCTTTCGAGTGGCCCGGGGGTGCGACAGGGAGGAGCTACCCATAAGGAAAAAGAAATGGAGGGCCCGAGCAATAGGGGAACGAAAAATGGCATAAACGTAAAAACTCGGAGGTCCGCGCGGATTTCTTGGATCCGCGCTGGAACCCCCTCCCTGGCGCGCGGAGCGCGCCAGGGGCGGCGCCGGAGGCGCCGCCAGGGCGGTCCAGCGCCGATCCGAGACATCCGCGCGGACCTTCGAGTTGTTATGTTCCCCAATCAGAGCTTGCCTCTGTAGGGATCCTAGCGGGTTCATATGGTTAGGTGAGCTTCGCCACCGATTTCCGCGGCCCGCCCAGGTGCCCGCGTGCCCAGGTGCCCGGGTGCTTTATAGCCCTATAGCCCTATAGCCTTGTAGCCATATAGCATTATAGCCCCATAGCCCAAGAGCCCTATAGCCCTATATCCCTATAGCCCTATAGCCCTGTAGCCCTATATCCCTATAGCCTGATAGCCATATAGCCCTATCGCCCTAGAGCTCTATAACTCTATAGCCCTATAGCCCTATAGCCCTATAGCCCTGTAGCCCAATAGCCCATAGCCCCATATCCCTGTAGCCCAATAGCCCTATAGCCCTATAGCCCTATACTCCTATAACCCTATAGTTCTATAGCCATATGGTCCCATAGCCCCATCTCCCTATAGCCCAATAGCTCCGTAGCCCTATACGAGCACCCTTACGAGCCCACCGCTCAGGAAAAGGGGCTGCTTCGCATCTCTTTAGCGAGTTGCAGTGCATGCGAAAACCTGGGACAGAACGATGTGGCCAGCCAGAGCCTCGTTTTGACCAGGTATTGGCTCCCCCTTCCCCCTCACCCGCGCAAGCTTACCACTCTTGGTGCCAAGTTTGACGAACCGTAAACCGAGAGCCCCAGTTTGAAAAGGAACCGCCCTGCATCTGTGCAGCCGCCACACTGGTTCCACGCTCTGGTCTCTGAGTTCAAGTAAGTCTCAAGCGAGAGCCACGTGTGGAAACGCCGCCCCCCATCCATCCGTGTGGTTGCTGCAAACGTATAAGACGATGGTGCTCGGCGCTACATCGAGAGCCCCATGTTGACAAGGAGCCGCCATCCAACTGTGCGATGGCCGGAAGCTGTTTAAATGAATGCGTGCGGCGCTTAGGTGGGAGACCCAGTATGAAAAGGAATTGTCCCCCATGTGTGTAACTGCTGCCAGATGTCTACACGAGTGTGTGCGGCGCTATGGCGAGAGCCCCTTCCTGACAAGGAGCCGCCCGCCGTCGTTGAAATTGCTGGAAAAACTTAGGACGAATGTGTGCGGCGCTCGGCGCTAAGGCAAGAGCCCCACTGTGAAAACGATCCCCCTTTCATACTGCTGCAAGTTCGAAGCTGTAGTGAGGAAGTCTCGGGCGAAACGCCGGTGCCGCCCTGCCGACACAACTTGGGGCCGACAGGGAGGAGCTCTCTATATACGGAAAGAGGGATGGAGGAGGATGAGGAGGCAGAGGACTGGGGGAGAGGGATCAGGAGGAGGAGGAGGAGATGAGGAAGAAACAGAGGTCGGAGCAGGAGGGGGAGGAGGAGGAGGAGGAGGAGGAGGAGGAGGTGGAGGAGGAGGTGGTGGTGGAGATATGAGGAAGAGAGAGGTCTCGGGGCAGGAGAGAGGAGGAGGAGGGGGAGGAGGAGGAGGAGGAGGAGGAGGGAGAGGAGGAGGAGGGAGAGGAGGAGGAGGAGGAGGAGGAGGAGGAGGAGGAGGAGGTAGAGGGAGAAGGCTAAGGACAAGGAGCTGCAGCGGCCCGTGCCGTGGAGGAGCTGGAGTAGAGGGAGGGAGCGGGGGAAACGGAGGAGGACATGTGGCATGGGAGGAGAGGGGGGAGGGGCGGGAGGAAAGCGAGGAAAAGGAGGAGCACGAGGAGAAGAAAGGTGAGCTGGAGCAGGAGGAAGATGAGGAAGAGGCGATGGGAAGAGGAGGAGGAGGAGGAGGAGGATGGCGTCGACAAGGAGAGGGAGGGATGGTGCGGAGGAGCAGGGGGACGAGGAGGAATAAGGGAGGGGTGACTGTACCCAGTTTTGCCTGCCCGCCCCCTCGCGAGAGGCTCAGCGGAGCGCTGCAAGGCATCTGTGGCGGGGTTGCTCGTGGCGACACGTCGCTCCTGCATCTTCGCTGGCAGCACCTCTCGGTACGCAGGCCAGCTGCCCGCACAGACAAGCGGCGGGGGGGCCATGGCCAGCTGTCCAAGCAGCTCGAGCGACACCGGCACGGTCCTCGGCTGGCTCGCAGGCAGTGCCGGGCCGCGTAGCTTCGGCGTTGCGGCGGCCTCCCCGTTGGGAACCGATGCGGTGGTCTCCAAGGAGCTGCGCACCAGGGCGCTACCGATCGTTGTAAGCTGGTTACGTCCCCGAGCATGATGCGCGCCACCTCCTTGGCCCTGCAAGTCATGTGCTCACTTCGTGCCTGGTGAGCTCCACCTCCACGACCATGATGAGGACGCCCTCGACCGTGCACGGCTTGAGCTCATCTTTTACCATAGTGAATTGCCGCAGGATCGTCACCGTGTCCAGAACCATCAGCAGCATTCGTCTTTCCATGGGAGGTGCCAGATGTGGATTTCGTTGCTCGCTCGGGCTGTGGAGCGATGCCCCCAGTCAATGTTCATTCCATGTTGTAGACATGGTGTTGGTGCATCAAGCGATTGGAGGGGCATTCGTCTCGGGCGGTGCCAGACAGGATTTCGTTGCTCGCTCGGGCAGTGGAGCAATGTCCCCGGTCGATGCTTATTCCATGTTGTAGAAGTGGCGCTGGCATTCAAGCGAGCGGAGGTGCATCGTGTCAGACCACGATATTGGATGTTTGCCACCATCCTGGCCCAACCTGGGCGTGACGGAATCACTTGCTGGTTCTCCTAGGGCAGTTCCCGTTGTCGCTTTCTCGTCACGTCCGATGACCCTTCGTTTGAGGATGAAAGTCCACTGCAAAGCCCGTCTTTCGGGGAAGCGCTTGAGTGCGAGTGTTTCTCCGACTCTTCCTCCATCATCCGCCCTTCCCTTACATCGTTGAGCTCCCCACAACCCCAAGCCACTCAGACTGCACCCGTCTTCCCTCGGCTGTGCGGGGATGAAGGACGAGGCACGGCGCGCGCACTGCGCAGGAGAGCCGCACGGACGGTGCCGACGACGAGAACGCGCTGCGTTTGTCACCGACGCCTTCCGCGTCGCACAAGGTCCCCGGCTGGCCCCGACCACTCGCGAGCAAGCTCCCCTCACCCTTCTCCTTTCTGATGCTCCCCCCCCCTCCACCTCCTCCTCCTCCTCCTCCTCCTCCTCCTCCTCCTCCTCCTCCTCCTCCTCCTCCTCCTCCTCCTCCTCCTCCTCCTCCTCCTCCTCGCGCCGGGCTGCCCAGATCGGGCCAGGAGCGGATAGGAGGTCGACGGTGAGACGGGGCCCTCGCCGCGACGCCGAGGGCGTCCGGCGCTGCGGGGCACACTCCGGAGCGCGGCCTGTCGCCATTCCGGCGGGCCAGGGTACAAGATCGAGGTCGGGTCGGAGAGGGCACCGTAGGGTTCTTCGTGTTTGTTGGATGTTATTCTCTTGCACGGCTGTGTTCTGGAGCTCGGACCTCTTTATTTGAGTGGGTCGTCATCGTGCGCTCCTTCGTCCTCTCCCCCAGGCCACAGAAGGCGAAAGCCTCCTGTCCCTCGCAGCTCCTTGGTGCAAGAGCCAGGGCACGCGTGCCACTTGTTGTGTGATGGACCCTGGGGACGGTGCCCTTGGATGTTCTGTTTGTTTTGGCCCACGGAGGGTTTCATGTTCCTGAGGGATGTTCTTCTGGCTCAGGTCCGAGTGTAGAGCGCCGATGGGGGTCGGAGGACGCGTAATGGGGGGGCGATGAATGGGGGGGCCGCGAGGGCTGCAGAAAAGGGTACCTTAGCGCCCCCAGAGGATGCCTGTGGGCCCGAGAAGGGTACATTTCTCCCCTCCCCCCCCCCCCCCCCCCTGTACATCGCCCCCCACACTAATTCGCGCCCGACAGCGATGCAGGGCGATCCTCCAACCCCGTCTGCTCTGGCCCCTTTTGGACGGCCTTCGAGACCGAGAGCGCAATCGCGAAGGACAGGTGCACAACGGCCTCATCATCATCATCATCATCATCATCATCATCATCATCATCATCATCATCATCATCATCATCATCATCATCATCGTCATCGTCATCGTCATCGTCATCATCGTCATCATCGTCATCATCGTCATCGTCATCATCACCATCATCACCATCACCATCACCATCACCATCATCATCACAATCCGTATCAGTATCAGTATCAACCGCATCATCGTCATCAGCAGCAGCATCAGCATCACCTTCCTCATCATCATCATCATCATCAGCAGCAGCATCATCATTATCATTACCATTACCATTATCTCTATCAATATCATCATCGTCGTCGTGATCATCAGCATCGTCGTCATCATCGCAATCACCACCAGCATCGCCATCATCATCATCATCATCATCATCATCATCATCATCATCATCATCATCATCATCATCATCATCATCATCACTCCTTTCCCCTCCGCTTGAAGGCGTAAACATGTACAAGCACACCCTGCATGTGTCCAACCCCCTTGCTTTGGGTGCTCGTTTTGAATTGAGCACTCTGCTTTCCAGTTCTTCTTCCACCTGCCTCCCGCCTGCTCTCTTTTTTCCTCCTCTCCTCGTTTGCCTTTTACCTGGCTTGCACCTGCCTGACATTCTGCCTGTTATTTCGCGGTCCTCCCTGGGGGGCCGCGCACTGCAAAATTGTCGCTGCTTTCGAGGGCGGCCACGGGGTCCAGCATAGCGACGCCCTACTCGGACTCGAAGCACTGTCAGCTCATGATTAACAAATGATCCCCCCCCGGGGCTGATGAATAGACTCCGCGGGGCGAGATACTTTATGTTTTGATCACACGCGCCGGGGTCGGAGAGCTCGGGGAACCCCCGCACCGCGGGTGATGGCAAACAGCATGAACGACGAGGAGGAGGAGGAGGAGGAGGAGGAGGAGGAGGACGGGGAGGAGGACGGGGAGGAGGGGGAGAAGGAAGCCAACGACGACGGCCACGACGACGGCGGCGGCGGCGGCGGTGGTGACGACAACCACGACAGAGGGGTGGAGGAGGACTGCCCGCCTTGCTCGGGTCGGACGAAAGGCTGGGGAAAGAAAGTGGGGGTTGCGAAGCTTGGTGCGCGCAGCTGGTTTCGGTCGCCCCGCCGAGGGGCCAGGAGGCGCTTGGAAAATCAGCAGCGTGAGCTGATTGGCAAATCCCCGCTTGGCCACGCCCCTGTTTCGTCCAGCCCGCGTTGCTCGCGGGCCCGCGAGGCAGCTGGCGCTCCCCTGGCTGCGGCCAGGGCAAGGAAACGCATTGGTTCGACACACAAGAACACGGAAAGTGCGGGGGCGCCCTGGCTGGCCCACAGTCCGTGTTTCTGCCGCTTTTGCCTCCCGCCCCCCCCCCTCCTCCCCCAGACTGTGTTGTTCCTGTCGCATTATCACTGGCGACCAGGCGTCGGCGCTAATCACCGGCGCCGCCGCCGTTGTTTTTTTAGCCTGGCGGGCGCACCCCCGTGATTCGCCCGAGCATGGAAACCAGCTCTAAAAAAACACGCACCCCCCACGGATTTGTTGACCATAAGCTGGCATTAAACCTCAAAGTCCCTGGGGGGGCTGCGAGCTGCGAAAACCCCGATACGTTCGAGGGCCGCTGGGGGGCCCGCATAGTCGCGTCAAATGCTGATTCAAACTAGACCCCGGCCTCCCTGGGGGGCTGCGAACTGCGAAAGTGTCGGTACATTCGAGGTTCTTCTTGGGGGGTCAGCATAGTGACGTCCTACGCGGATTCAATTTCAATTATCACATCCGTGGGGCGAGTGCGAACTGCGATACTGTCGCTGCGGTCTAGGGCGGCCGGGGGGTCCAGCATAGTGACGTGTCATTCGGATTCAGCTTAAACCTCAGCATCCTTGCGGGGGCGCTGCAAAGTGCCAAATTGTGGCAACGTCCGAGCCATGCCGGGAGGTCTGTCATGGTGACGTCACAAACTCAAATTAGACCTCAGCACCTTTGGTGGGCTGCGAACTGCGACAATGTCGTTAGTTCCGAGGGTTATTGGGGCGTCCAGCACACTGACGTTCCAGCACTCTCCCGTCGTATTTGGACGCAGATTAGACCTCAGCATCCCTGCGGGGCTGCGAATTGCGAAACTGTCGTTGCTTGCGAGAGCTGCCGGGGGGGTCAGCACAGTGACGTCTACGCGGGTTCAGATTTGACCTCAGCATCCTTGCGGGGCTGCGAAGTGCAAAGTTGTCGCCTCGTTCGAGGGTTGTTGGAGGGCCCAGCATAGTGACGTTCCTGCGGATTCAGATTGGACCTCAGCATCCTGGGCGGGGCATCTGCGAAACTGTAGCTACGTCCGAGGGTTACCAGGTCATACGTAGTGGTTTCCTACGCTGCCTTTGATTAGACTTCAGCACCCCTGTTGGTTTGCGAACTGCTGAACTGATGCTACTTTCGAGGGCTGTTGGAGGGTCCAGCATAGTGACGTCCTACGCTGGCCCAAGTGAGACCTCAGTATCCTTGGGGGGCTACGATCTGCAGACCTGTTGCTACGTTCGAAGGCCGCTGGGGGATCCAGCATAGACGTTCCAGCATAGTGACGTCATACCCAGACTCAAGTTAGACCTCAGCATCCTTGGGGGGGGCTACGAATTGCGAAACAGTCGATACGTTCGAGGGCTGCTGGGGGGTCAGCACAGTGACGTCCTACGCGGACTCAGATTAGACCTCAGCATCCCAGGGGGGTTGCGAACTGCGAACCTGTCGTTGCTTTCGAGGGCTGTCGGTGGGTCCAGCATAGTGGCGCCCTGCGCTGACTCAATTTAGACTTCAGCATCCCTGGGGGAGCTGCGAGCTGCGAAAGTGTCGTTACTTTCGAGGGCTGCTTGGGGGTGGGGTGTCCATCATAGTGACGTCCTACGCTGATTAAAATTTGACCTCAGCACCCCTGGGTGGCTGCTAAACTGCGAACTGTTGCTATGTTCGAGGGCTGATGGGAGCTCCTCCTCCTCCTCCTCCTCCTCCTCCTCCTCCTCCTCCTCCTCCTCCCTCCTCCTCCTCCTCCCCTTGCTCCTCTCCTCCCTCCTGCTCCTGCTCCTGCTCCTCCTCCTCCTCCTCCTCCTCCTCCTCCTCCTCCTCCTCCTCCTCCTCCTCCTCCTCCTCCTCTCGGCTGATTGGAGGTGCAGGGGATTCGGGGAGGCACGTGCACCCAGACGGGACTTCGCTGCTCCCCGGGTGGTTGCGAGTTGCGCGGCTGTCACCACTTACGTGGGCCTCTTGGGAGGTCCAGCGGAGTCGACGACGACGACGACGACGACGATGACGATGACGATGACGATGACGATCGTCATCGTCATCGTCATGGTCATCGTCATCATCGTCATCGTCATCATCATCATCGTCATCGTCATCGTCTCGGGGCACGTGCACCCAGACGGGACCTCGCTGCTCCCTGGGAGGTTGCGAACTGCGCAATTGTCCTCATTGTCGTCGGCTCCCGGGAGGTACAGCGGAGTCGGGGCGGGGGGGGGCATGCGCACCCAGACGGGACCTCGCTGCTGCCTGGGAGGCTGCGAACTGCGCAATTGTCACCGCTTTCGTGGGCTCCTTGGAGGTCCAGCGAAATCCGGAGCCATGCGCACCCAAACGGAAATTCGCTGCTCCTTGGGTGGCTGCGAACGGCGCAGTTGTCACCATTTTTGTGGGTTCCTGGGGGGTCGGCTGAGTCGGGGGGCACGCGCACCCAGACGGGACCTCGTTGCTCCCTGGGTGGTTGCGGATTGCGCAATTGTCACCACTTTCGTTGGTTCTTGGGAGGTCCTGCGGAGTCGGGGGCCACACGCACCCAGGCAGGACCTCGCTGCCCCCTCGGTGGTTGCGCATTGCGCAACCGTCACCACTTTCGTCGGCTCCTGGGAGGTCCAGCGGGGTCGGGGGCACGCGCACCCAGACGGGGCCTCGCTGCTCCCTGGGTGACTGCGTGTCACCACGTCCGCGGGTATTTGGGAGGTTCAGCGGGGTCGGGGGGCACGCGCACCCAGACAGGACCTCGCTGCTCCCTGGGTGGCTGCTAACTGCGGAATTGTCACCACTTTCGTGGGCTCCTGGGAGGTCCAGAGGT